GCACAGCAGCAAGCACTCGGGACTGGGGGCAGCCACAAGCGCTGGCACCGGCAGCTGTGCAGCTTTGGGGACAGTCCTCACCCCCGCCGCAGCAGCTAAAGATTACCAAGCAGTCACCAGGCGTAGGCACTGAGCTCAGCGCTGGGCATCTAACTGTCCCAGCGATGCCACTGGGTGGGGACTGGTAGCCTCGCGTGGCGAGAGGAACTTGAGGCTGAAAGAAGTTAACCAACTTGAACACGGTCGCCGCACACTAGACGTGATGGCGCCGGGATTCGAACCCACACATCTGGTTCCAGAGCCCGGTCACTCTCGCTACAAGCCCCTTCTCAGGCCCTCAGCTTCCACACGTTTAAAGCCAGAATGACAGAACGTGCCGCGCGGGGGGCTGTGAGGAGGTGGGCAAAGTACTCTGACAGAAATCGCGACACCGCTGGCCAGAACTCCCGCAGGCCCGCCCGGGACAGTCAATTCGGACGACCGCCCCCTCCCCGCCCCCTTCCGCACCGGCTTTCCCGGACGGTATGCGCGCCCGTTTCCGCTCCGAGGAGGCCCCCTGCCTCTTCATGCTCGACGCGTGCCTCTCTCGTGCGTCTTCGGTTTCCTCGGAGGCCGGGTTCCGGCGCGCGCGACCAAGGAAGCGCGCCTCACGGCTGCGCGCACCCCTGCGCGTCCCCGACACCAAGACCCAGCAGCCCCCGCGAAAACCGAGTCGTTGGCGCAGTCGCAGTCGCAGTCACTACCCCCCTTGCCTTCTGAGAAGGAGGGGCTGACTCTGCATGACCCGGAAGTGTTTCTCTGTCCGGTGGTGGAGAAAGGAGACCACGGAGAGCTAGGGTGTAGAGGTGGTTTCTTTACACTGTCTTCAGTATGCAGCGATTACTCTTTCCGCCCCTGAAGGCCTTGATGGGGAGCTCGTGTCTCCGGCTCCTGGTTCCTAGGGCGGCGCCTAGAACACAGGTACTGCACCGCAGAGGACTCAGTCGCGGAATCGGACAGGGGTCGAAAGAGTCAGGAGAAGGATAATAGGTAACCCCACATCAACATTGCCGTAGTTCCTTAGAATTCACAACACATTTCTTTGTGCCCAGAGCCCCTTAGGTAGGTCTGGCAACTCATAGCTTAGTGGGAGATGGAGACAAATGAACCTGAAGTACATTATCATGTGTTAAGGGCTGAGATAGGGAAGGTAGAGTATGCTGTGGGAATGACCTGTTGCAGAACCAGGAGGATCTAGGAACATTTCCCAGAGGAGGTGACATCTGAACTGAGATCTATAGTAGATATTCTCAATCAGGGGAGAAGGAGCATCCCAGTCAGCGAGAAAGAAAATAATCCATATCTGGGTGTAGAGTTAAGTCTGGGGGAAGTATGCAGAGACCAGAAGGTTCATGTAGTGTGGGGATGGATTGGAGTGAGGCAAAACTAGAGGCAGGAAAACCAGTTGTGGGATGGATGCAGTAATCCAGATAGGAGATGATGATTTACTAGGGCAGAAGCAGTGGAGATGTGGCCATACAGGGTACTCCACTCTAGACAGTGGGATTGTGTGTGAGAGCAGTGGATTGAGGCCTTTCCCACAGTCTCCAGTTGTAATTTGTCTGGCTTGTTGATCTTTAGTGTGGTTGCAGCTGTGGGATCAGGCGCCCCTTGAGGCCAGGGCAATACAGCACCGTCTCTGAAGTATCTTTGCAGTCTGGAAGGGGTACAGTGTCCCTTCCCTCAAGAGCTGCTGAACGGGTGGTGGGCCGATGGCTCCTGGTCTGCAGTGGAACAGTGGCTGGAGCAGTTATTCTTGGTGGAGTGACTAGGTGAGTAATTCGCTTGTAGGGAGTCAGCTCTTTGGGTCATCAGTAGAAGCACAGGATGACCAAGGGGGAAGAGACCTTAGGAATCATCTAGTCTCACTCCCTCATTTTATATGTGTAGAAACTGAGGCCTAAAGAGGGACACGCCTGAGGGCTTGCCTGCCGTAGAACAGTTTAGAGTTTTATTATTGGGAGCCCTTCATAAAGCCTGGTTTAGGTCTTACCTGTTTGCTGTGCATTATCTGTATATATTTTCCCTCTACAAACAGTTTTCAAATTTGTCTCAAAAATTTTTGTACAGTTTGTTTGGATTGAATCCTCATAAATAGATCACAATTGGTTTGTATGCCTCTTAGGTCCCTTTAAATCTATAAAGAGATTTTATAGATTTAGTTTCTTCTCCCGCCCTCCCCATTCCATGTAGTTTTTTTGCTATTAAAGAAACGTAACTGATTGGTCCTATGGAGTTTCCTGGTCTGGATTTTGCTAACTGCATACTTGTCGTGGTGTTTAACATGTCCCATTACCCACAGTATTTCCTGTAAACCGGTTTTTGCTTGATCAGATTCAGGTTGGGAGCAGGGGACAAAATACTTCACAGGTGATTACAACATTAATAAATATCTGGTGTCCATTAGAGATGCCAACAGCCATTGATGATCATTGCCTAGATCCATGATTTCATTACATTTGCAAAATTGTAATATTTTATTAGTTCAACTCTAAAGAAAAACTTGCCCTCATCAACAATTTGGTTATCGTAAGGTACAGTTTGTGTAAGAAAGGCAGGATAAATACTTGAAGCTTTCTCTTTATTGACCAGTTTTGAAAATAATAAGTTGGTTCCCAAGCATCCTCCAATTTGATCACCCAAAGGTGATCAATAAAGAGTTTGGGTTTTTAAATATTATAAGCTCATAGGTTTAAACGTATTTGATGTTTCAATCCATTGCCCTGATGATTTACTCAAATTGTTCCATCTTTAGTCAATGGGAGCCTCTTCAGATTGCCTCCTGGGTCTTTTTGACAGGATCCTAGTAACCTAGTAATTAAATGCTTTGCTTTCTGGATAAGATGTTCCAGGTTTATCTTCATTTCCTGCCTCTGACCTAAAATCAGCCTTTCACTTTAGAAACCTTCACTCCTTTTGGTGAAAATACCTTCTGGTATTAATACAGTATATGTTCCTCAGATTCTCTCCACATTCCCTGTGCTCTTATTTCAAAATACCATATGTTATATAGACTGTTATGGGAAACTGCAACAAATTTAAGTTTTATTAGCTTTAAATTCACTCAAGAATCTAAACTGTTTTATATCTGTAACAAATCTCTTTTCCCTCTGTAAATAATGTCACTTATTCATTGAGGGCATGTTTTTTTGCTCTAAGGGTTGAGTTTTACCTGTTAAGGAATGCTAGTGAAAGAAAGAAGTAAAGAGAACTGAATGAAAGGATCAAGAGAACAAGGAATAAAGAAATTTGTACCTGATGGCAGCTGTTTCTGGTGAAATTTAAAGCAGTAAGAAGAAAGCAAGGTGTCAAAAAAGGATACACTGAAATGAAGTGTTTACTTTTAGAGGGGTTAAGTTCAGATCCATTTGTTTCTGTAAACCATTTACGAGAAATCCAGCATTGTGTGTGCATGTGTGTGTGCGCACGTTCACACACACACTTTTTACCTATCTTAAGGTTGACGGAGTCTGGGCTCTCAATGGTAGACTGGCATTTGATAAAGGAGATGAAGCCACCTACCAGTCAAGAGGAATGGGAAACAGAATTCCAAAAATATCAGCAATTTCCAGAATTTAAAATGTAAGTATAGGGGCACCTGGGTGGCTCAGTCGGTTACGCATATGCCTTCGGCTCAAGTCATGATCCTGAGGTCCTGGGATTGAGCCCCTTGTCAGGTCCCCTGCTCAGCAGGGCAGTCTGCTTCTCCCTCTCCCCGCTCACGCTCTCTCTCTCTCTTGCTCACTCTCTCAAATAAATCTTTTTTTAAAAAGTAAGTATAATAGAAAATCAGGTAAACATCCCACTAGGCCCTTTCAATCTTTTGCTTAAACATTTCAGAATGGTTAGATTCCATTTTGCTCAATATTTGCTTCAGTTATGTTTAGTGAGCTCCCTACTCTAAACCTCCAGTTCCAAAGTGATCCTGAGGTCACTGATGAGGAAGAAGGCAAACCTTTCATTTCAAGCTTCAAAACTGAGAATGCTCTTGCATTCTGTCTGGAAATAAAAATCAGGATGTTTCTTCTTTCTTTTTTGACTTCCCTTTTCACCCAGCTTGAATCATGATATGACATTGGCCGAATTCAAGTTCATTTGGTACATGGAGTACTCACACCGAATGTGGGGTCGCCTTGTGGGCCTTGCATACATCCTGCCTGCTGCCTACTTTTGGAGAAAGGGCTGGCTCAGCCGTGGCATGAAAGGACGTGTTCTTGCCCTGTGTGGGTTAGTCTGCTTCCAGGTAAGATTTATTCAAGTTTGGGAAACCAGAGATGCTTCCAGGAGCTTCCTCATTGGGATTGTTTTTAAGGAAGGAATCTGAGTCTATATAACAGAGTGGGAAAGAGGATGAATTTTAGTGTTACAGGCCTGACCCAACCCTGCCACTTAGTAGGGCAAGTTGTCTCCCTTCTGTAGGCCCCTTTCATTACCTGTAAATAGGGATAATAATAGTGCCTACTGGTTAGGTTGTGTGACTTAAATGAGAGAGATCATGCATATAAAGTACTTAGTTTAGTGCCTGGAATTAGTAAGCGCTCAGTAAATACATTGTTGTATCACAGGAAGTTCTTTCCTCTCATGGCTTTCTTCCTGGGTTCTTGTCTCCTCCCCTTTTCTGACTTGTGTGCTGGATGGGGAATGGGATCCCTGTGTTCTAGGTAAAGAAGCGAATATGAAGACTCCCACAGTTAAGGGGTTTGCTGAGACTGAGAGCCAAGAAAAGGAATATGAGAGAAGGTACAAAGGAGTATTTGGTCACGATTATAGGCCCTCAGAAAGAGTCATAGAGCATCAAAGGAACATCACAGTTTGATCAGGAATAAGCTAAATAGACTCAGAAGTAGTAAGAATAAGAACCAATTAGAAGGAAATGAAGAGGGAGATGGAGGAGACAAAATAGAGGCAACAGAAACAGATAAAGAGACATTAATAAAAGTCTAATAACAACTAGGGGAGGGTTGTTGAAGCAAAGTGAAAGTTTATTTTGGAATGATAAAATAAAACAAAAAACACCCGAAGACAGACTCCGGGAAGGCAGCAATTTGAAGATGGCAGATAGGATTATGGGAAGAAGAAAGCAGGACTGGCAAATCACACTGTATACTCCTTTGTCTCCCAAGGTCCTGTGCAGATGAAATCAAGATAATTAGAACATCCAGGATAATCACTAAGGGGGCAAGACATGCCCCAAAAGATTTCCTGAGGGGATCTATTAGAAGAGGTGGGAGAATCCCACCTCTCTGACATGCTTCTATTGACTGGGGAGGGCGGAGTTGAAAGGGCTGTATCTTATCTCATAGAAGTGAAACTCACAGTTATTTGGTTAATTGAAAAAAATTAAAGCAGGGTATCAGAGTAATGCATACCTTGAACTTCTATGCTTAAACTTGTACTTTCATTACTTTTTTTTTTTTTTAACTAAGAACTAAGGCCTGTTTTTTGAGTTCTCTGATTGGAATTTAACTTCAGATCTCTTGCATCCCCATAAACTATCATTTCATTTCATTTTCCTTAAAGAGGAGTGGGAACTTAGCCATTTGCAAAGGCATCTGCCAGCAAAGCGTTACAGATTTTTATGATTCCCCTCCACCCAGGACTTTTATAATTGTCTGTTCCTACTAACTTGACAATAATTGTTTTTAAGCAGTTATCTTTATCAAAGCTTTTCCAAAACAATCTAGTTTTTATAGAAAAAAACTCTTTTATTCTTACATTTCACTTACATTTCATTTTATATAATGTTAAATTATATCAAGTATCTTTAAGGCTTGCCTTTTGATAAGCTTCTGTGTACTTTTCTACCTTTGGCTTATACTTTAATGAAATGTTAATCTAAACAGCAGTTAAGCATTTATGGTGCTGTATGTGAAACTGTGGGCAGGGTATGACTCCTGGGGATACTGGGGGTATGGGAAGGTAGGGGAAGGAGAGGCCGGGTGCGGAACACTCCTGATAATTGACAACTCACTTTCTCACATAGTACAGTTGAATGGACAGATCCAGCCTTGTTTTATCTGCCTCTTCTGTTTTTGGTTCCAGGGTCTGTTGGGATGGTATATGGTGAAAAGTGGATTAGAAGAAAAACCAGACACCCATGACATCCCTCGGGTCAGTCAGTACCGCCTCGCTGCCCACCTGGGATCAGCCCTTGTTCTTTATTGTGCCAGCTTGTGGACTTCACTCTCACTGCTGCTCCCTCAGCACAAGGTAAAAGTCAGGCTATATTAGTATATCTGCACAGATGCTGACAAGGTCAGAGGAACAGAAATTCTGCTTCTAATGGGAAATTGTAAGTCAAAATGCGCCCACATTCCCTTAGTTACACCTACCAATTTACCAGAAATTAGATAAAACCAAAGATGCCAGAAACATTGAACTTTGAGACTCTGGAAAGCTTTGGAACTGCAAAGTAAAATGTGCCATTATTCTTTTGAGCGGGAGCAACTCATTCAAAGGAAAATTAGTACAGGAGCCAAATATTCTATCAGCATTGCCTATTGGGAAAAGTGAAAACACGAATCTTAGGAATGGTGGGAAGGGGTTGCAACAAGAGCAATCCCAACCATTTCTGACTCCCAGAGGGATGGCGGATGGTGAGGTGAGGAAGGCCAGAATGAGAGCTGTTGCTGGACTTTTGATGGTAAACAAGAGCCATGAGAGTTGTTTGTTCTTTAGGTGGAGACCTACCATTCATCAAGTCTGACAAGTCTGATCTTGTGATCTTAGTGATCTTGCCTGAAAGTATTTCCCTTTATGCTGATTAAAGGAAAATATTAGTTTTTCTAAAAATGAGTATTATTTTAGGTATTGAAGTCATGGTTGACTTGGATACCCTGTTGATGGAATGAAGTTTGAGATGACAGTAGGACTTTTAAGTAGAATTATCCAATAGGTACTTGGAACCACTAGCCTCAATTCCAATAAGGAAACGAGCTGTGGACTTGGCAGTCATCCCCACAGGGAAGCCGGATGGGGTCGAAACACTGGTATAGTAGACAATCTATATCGGAATAATTCTTGTTCTCTGAATTGCCTACAGCTGTAACTATCCTTGCTGACAACCACTCTTTCTTAATTCTTGTCATCTGGCACTCCCACCCACCCACCTCTGTACGTACACACCCAAGCGTTCACCCACATGCCTACACATATACCCACGCACTCCTAAACACTCTCTACGGGAAATGGTGCTCTGAAAGGTTGCCAATGACTTTTTAATTATCAACTGTTTTTCTCTTTTCATTTATTTATATTCCACTAATTGCAGAAAGGATTTGAGATGATAGTCAAACATGTAGTGCTATTCTGTCCAACACAGTATCTACTAGTCACATGTGGCTATTTAAATTTTAATTAAAATTAAATAAAATTAAGCTTATTTTTAAAAAGCGGTTGTTTACGTAAAGTTTAAATAAAATTAAGTTTTTATTTAGTTTTCAGGTGCTATGGCCTCGTTTCAGGTCCTCATTAGCCATGTATTGGCCAGTGCAGATAATAGAACATTTCCATCATCACAGAAAGTTCTGTTGGACGGCACTGATATACAGTCCTATGATATCTTAGTGATGATACCTCACTCTTCATATACTAGATTATAGACCATTTAAGGGCAGCACTCTGATTAACTCCTTTGTATCTTTATGGTAATTTGTTTATAAAATTCTTAATAAATATTTGTTGATTTACTGACTAGTGTCAGAAGTTGGCTATAGTAAAAATAAAATTTTTATCTTACCAAAACACTAAATGCAAGAATCTCTACTTCAGTGATTTTTTTAAGATTTATTTATTTATTTGGGAGAAAAAGTATGTACAGTGGGGAGGGGCGGAGGGAGACAGAGAGCCTCAAGCAGGCTCCGGGCTGAGCATGGAGCCCAACACAGGGCTTCATCTCACGACCTGAGATCACTACCTGAGCCAAAACCAAGAGTTGGACGCTTAATTGACTGTGCCACCCAGGCGCCCCTCTACTTTAGGGATTTTATATAGTTTTGATTCTGACTGTATTTGCTAAACACGAAATATCACAAACAACATGAAAATCTAGTCCTATATCTTAAGCCACATCGTTTCAACCATGGGGAAGCATTTTTCCCTTGAATGATGCAAATCATTATTGAACAGATATGTGTTGAGTACTTATATACCAAGCACTGGGCTAGGATTACTTCACTAAGCAAGACCAGATGGCAGTTCCTGCCTTCACAAGACTTACAGGAAAGCAGGGAAGACAGACAGTAAATATATAAATGTCGTAAAATATGACGCATGTTAGACCAGAGTATCTGCTGGGAGTGCTTAACCCATTTAGGGGGTCAGAAAAGATCTGATTGTTACTTGGGTTTGGCCTTGGAGATCCTTGCTGCCTCCCTTAGTTCCTGCAGTACAGTGTATCTGAATGGTTTTCTTTTCTTTAGTTGCCTGAAACTCGTCAGCTCCTGTGGTTGAGACGATGTGCTCATGGAACAGCAGGCCTTGTGTTCCTTACTGCTCTCTCAGGTAGGACTCTTCTCATCTCGCGTGTCTAGTTTTATTCCACCCTCGGTGGGGGGTGGGGGTTCTCTTGCCAAACACTTTGTCCGTTCCTTCTGCACCTTCATATTTCCCCTTCACATCTGCCTCTTTCATACCCACTGTCTTCATTCTCTGTCTCTTCCTTCCTCCCTTCCAAAAACCCTGCTTTCCAGTCATCTGAACACAATTATTGAACATTTATCGGGATCCAGACTGCCTAGGTTCAAATCCTGGCTTTACCACCTATGAACTCTCTGACTTTGAGCAAGCTGTATAACCTCTTGGGCCTCAGTGACCTCATTTTTAAAATGGGGATGATGGTAATAGTGTGAGGGATACATGTGAGGTGCTTAGAACAGTACCTGGCATGTAGCAAAGGCTAGGTGCAAATCAGAAAAGTCCTTTCCTCAAAGATAGTCTAAGATGAGGAGCTCATTGGGGCAAAGGGACTGACACAGGTCTTTCTCATTCTTTAAATCACACCTCTACCCTACCTCTCTCACTCGAGAACTGTATCATCCAATACATTAATCACTAGCCTCATGTGACTATTTAAGCTTAATTAAAATTAAATAAAATTTAAAATGTAGTTCCTCAGTCACACTAGCCACATTTCAAGTACTCAATAGCCACGTGTGGCTAGCTGCTGTTGTGTTGGCTGGCAGATAGAGAACATTTCCATCATCATGGAAAGTTTTGTTGAGTAGCACTTCTCTAAAGAAAACCATCAAACCAGTGATTCACCTCCCCACCCTTTTTGGTGGAAGAACATGAATTTTGACTTTATAAATGCTATTTGTATAAACAAGAAATGTGATCTAAACATCCCTGAGTCATCTTTGCTCATAAATAATGGATCAGTCATCCATTAACTCATGGATACTTTATGTGTTTATCTAGGATTTAGTTTATAAATTTTTTCATTTCTGTGTTCACTCAACAATTTTTTTTGAGCACTTGGGGAAGACAGATAATAAACAATGAAAACATGGCAGATGGTGTTCAGTGCTGTGGAAAAAATAAAGCAGGATAAGGGGATAGAGGTGGGTTTGGGTAAGTGCTGTCTTACACAGGACCATTGGGGAGATCTCTTTGATAAGGTGACATTGAGTGGAGACCTGAGGAAATGAAGGAGTAAATTACGCAGATATCTGGGGGAAGAGCATTTCCAGAATAGATCGAGTTCATAGTGGGATAAGGAGGGCATCAAAATCACTGAGGGAATGTTTCCATCCAACGTGCCTTGTTCTAGAGCTTCTAGTTCACTCCTTTATGGGGGAAATGCCAGAATCTTGGGGTGGGAGAAGGTGAGGATGCACTTGTGTTGTGGTGGGGGTTTTTTTATTTTTTTTAAGTTCCCATGGTGATGATGATGTATATTCTCTGTTTGAGAACCCCTTCTGTAGATCTTTTTATTCTCAGACTATTCTTTTTGTCTAACTCTGGGATAATAGACTTTTTCTATGTCAGAACTAGTATTTGAGGGATGCTTGGATGGCTCAGTCCGTTGAGCGTCTGCCTTTGGCTCAGGTCATGATCCTGGGGTCCTGGGATCGAGCCCTGCGTCAGGCTCCCTGCTGAGCGGGGAGCCTGCTTCTCCCTCTTGCTCTGCCTGCCGCTCTGCCTACTTGTGTGCTCTCTTTGTATCTCTCTGCCAAGTGGATGGATAAAATCTTAAAAAAAAAAAAAAAGAACTAGTATTTGAGCTCTTTTCTACCTCATTTTAATAAATACCATTTACCTTGGAATATAGGGGCTTTTGTGGCAGGACTGGATGCTGGGCTTGTTTACAACTCTTTCCCAAAGATGGGAGAATCTTGGATCCCAGAGGATCTCTTTACCTTCTCCCCCATCTTGAGGAATGTTTTTGAGAATCCCACCATGGTGCAGTTTGATCACCGGATTCTGGTAAGTCTGGCTGGTGGTTACTGGCTGCTGAGCACAGAGAGCCTCTCACAGGCTTTGGGGCGTCTGAAGCCCTGATGGCAGCACCAAGAGAGGGTAGAGCAAGAGTGGGCACTAGATTTCCTTTGCTTTTTCAAAGAAATTTAGCACCAGTTCTCTGATGAGGTGTTTTTGTCCTAATTACCACACCCATTCCAGCCAAATTCTGGCTTTCAGGATACTGCTATCTTCTTGAAGTTCAAATGTGCCTTTTACCATCTGGCAAAGGATAACTTCCCTCAGTCCTGCACACACATAGAAGAGTCATTTTAGTGGAAATGAGGCTGAGTAGAGAAGAGAGGGCACAGACAGTGGTTGCTGAACACATAATTGTCAGAGCTGACCCAAAACCCCAGGGAGCTAAGAGCATCATAAATCAATTATGATTTATATGATTTATATGATCAGTCATTATTTCTCATCTTATTTAAGCTGATGTTTGTTAAGGACCTGCCGGGGTCATGTTACGATTGGTTTGGTAGCCTGGGCATGATACAGTGGAGCAGGGAGAGACACAGCAAGGAGGCCAGCAGGCAGCAGAGGGGCCGCTGCAGTAATGCAGGTGAGAGTGCTGGGGCTCTAGGCTGCATGGAGGAG